TCCTTACGTGGGACTTGAATATGAGGTTAATGTATGCTGTCCTAGAAACGTATTAAGTAATATTTTCTTTGTTGTGAATGAAGTTAAGCCGAATGCTTAAAATGTGCCTTCATTGAGTAAGCCACTAATGTACAACAAAATAAAATAAAAACTGACAAAAAAAAGGGAACTCAGAATGCGGGCAATGGATGACATGAACGGCAAAAAATTGTATTGGGATAGTACAGTACAATCCCAGATAAAAATTGTCCAATCTAGTCGAGCCTTTTATCCAATCTAACAAATTAGCTATCTTCAAGAACCGAAATTTCTTCTCGAACCACCGAAATTTCTTCTTGAACCATTATTCTGTCGAGAGAGGGCCCTCATTCTTTGTTCCTTCATGCTAGCAAACAGCGAGTCCAACGTCTGAGGCCTCGGCTTGGGGCCCGCTTTAGCTTCTTGCATTGTTTTCTGCAGAACAAGGAGAAAAAACAAACAGAGAAATCAAATCCACTTCAAAAGGAAAAATTCAACCTATCGCAATGTCGAATTTGCCCTTCAAAAGATGGGCACATACTGCAACAGGTGCCTTTCATTAATCGCAAGTTGCCGTCTCAAAAGCAGAACATCCAAAAGTTCAAGTCGTGGTGTGTTTTATTATAGAAAGTACATTTTTTTATAGAGTAAACCACTATCACTGAAATACAGACTTTAGTCAGTAGCGGTACCTTCACCGTGAAACTAACTCCATTCACATTATTATTATTCTGTCCAGCCGATGCCTCGATCCTGCGCGTACAAGTAACATACGAACTTTGGGTAGGCAAAAAGATGCCAGATGGAAGAACAATGACCGATAAATCTATAAGGAATGCTTCAGCTCGACCATCACCAATTGAAAGTACTGAGAGATAATGGAATCTCAATCAATATGTGAAAAAAGGGGAAAAATTGCAGACATTCACACAGTTCTCCCGTATGTCAAAATAAATTGCGCCGTGCACACCTCAAGCCCAATAACTACTCAGACGTAGTACAATGTTACGACTATGCACACTTCATACACTATGTTCCTCCAATTGCACTAGCTTGTCCAAGTACATTCTCGGAACAGACAGTACCATGATGGAAAAAAAGACATCGCCTAAATTGACGTAAAACCATCCATGACGTTTTACTTCAAACGAGGTTATGCATTTAAAAGGGTACAACATCATGGGACACAAATAACACTTCATAACCCCAAAAAAAAGCCCAATTATTAACAGCCAAGCGACACGAATCCAACCTATTCCATACCAACTCACAGACAAAGCACCAGATCGAACACAACTCTAGCTTACTGGCAGCTTCACACTCCAGTTCACAATGACAGTAAACTTTTGATTTGCTGCAACTAGCCAATCAAGAGGCATTTCACTGTATTCTACACGATGCATCTTCAAGGACTGTGAATAATAACATGGATGATTGTTCAAACTTTTTTTTAATGAACAACACAATCATAGACCAACCAATGATTCCATCACCCAACAAAATGCAGGTCCCATGAATAATCCAACAACATGATCCACAAATTACCTACATCAAAGCACCACATCCATAAAACCGCCAAATATCGATTCAGGAACACCTTAAGAAGGGAAACATAATCAATTGCAGAAGTACCTTTTATTCACATTAAATTGTCTATTTCTGCTGAAGTCTCTGTGGCGACGAGGGGCAGCAGCAGCCTTTATCGTGGCCTCGGCTGCCAAAGGGAACTGATCAACCTTAAAATTTTTCCTGCGCTGCGCAAGAGCACCCTACCAGAAAATAAAAAACAAAAAATTACGTTACACTGCACTTGTATTTAATAATCATTAAGGATGACACCAACACATCTAAAAAAGTGCAGCTCCTGTACACACAGCACGACAAGAATAATTAGATTAAGGCTTTCTAACATACCTGTCTAAGAGTGGATTTTGTGTCCATAAATCTCCGAGCTTTCGATGACTTATCTTGAGAGACATTGTTGAAGAACTTCTGACCCTTATTCTGCAGGTATTACACAGAAATTAGAACAAACCCGGCAATCTAGACTCGATTTTACGATGTTACATTAAAAGAATGCAAGAATAATCTTACATAAACTCTTTGCTTCTTGGGATTCTTATGGCAAGCTTTCGACATTTTGACAATATCATCTGAGTTGTAAAGGAAGCACAATTAAGTCCACAGCAAACAGAAATACATAATCCAAGTTAAATTGGAACCAAAAAAAAAAAAAAAA